ATATACATACATACATAGGCAGAAAGACATATAAATATATAATTAAATTAATAGACTGATAAACATTTATATGTACAAATAAATACCAAAACAGAGACAAATAATTAGATGAGTGATTATGGAGATAAATAAATAGGTAATTACATAAATGAATTAGACAGACAGATAAATAAACAAACACGTTACCAATTGCAAGTCATTATCCTGAGCAGATGCTAATTCCAGGAAACAGAGGCTGGCATGAGTGACACCATCAGTGCCACATACGGGAACCCACTCCTCAGGGCACTCACTTCCGCACTCACCATTATGGGCCTAGAATGGAAAAAAAAAACACACAATTTGAAGAGATAAGTGAAAAGTAAAACACTCACCATCATAGGCCTAGAAATAATATTATAAATAAAAAAAGATGAGTAACGAAGTAAAGGTTAATGAACAGTTATTAAGGTAAGTGATGGGAATTTGTGGGTAAATGGTATTTCGTCATGAGGACTGAGCAGTGAGATAGAGGAATAAAAGCGAAGAAATAGGAGTATTTATTCAATAGAGATGGGATGATATTTTGAATACCCGGATGATAGACTTCACTAGGTGATTTAGATAAAACAAAATCTATTGGCTAATAGCTTAAAAATCAAAGAATGATGAAGTATCCAGCACACACACATACACACATAAGTCAAAAAATAATTAAAAAATAAAAACACAAGTCAACAAAAAAGAAAACTCATTTAACAAACAACCTACGGCCTTACCAAAGTGATCTCGCCGTTGCTCAAACACTCGGCCAGTTCGAGTTCGCACGTGTTGGAGTACGTGACGTCATCGCTGCCACACACAGGGTCCCATTCATCAGTGCAGCCGAAGTCACACGCTTCCTGGCCAAACGCTAGGAGGGAAACAGTTTTGCTGTTATGATTATTGTTAACATCATTATCATTACCATTGTAGTTACGTTATCATTATTATCAATACTGTACAGTATGTTCACTCACATACTGCGTGGTTTTACGCTATATACTATATCTATGCGTATGTGTATATATGTACATACACATACATTTATATATATATTTATGTCTATTTATCTGTCTACATTTATGTGCATATATATGTATATAGATATATATGGATATATGTATTACATATGTATCTGTATATATATACTCATCTTTTCTAATTTATCTACACACACACACGTATATATATACACGTATATGAATAGATATTTATAGACACACTACATGTATATAAATATATATACATACACGCAAGCACATGACGCACATAGTAAACGACAACACACGCATAGTAACCCTTCATCCCAGACATACACAAACACAACCCCCAACCTTAGGATACACTTATGCCACCCTTCCTTGCTCACACTTTCGAAATCCACCATATCTTGTCATAACACTTACCCAGGACCACGAAGGAGAAAAGCAACGCAAGTTTCATGACGACTCACTACCATGTAACTAAGGGCGTCTCGAACCATCTTATCAAGATCGGCTGAGGTTCTCCTGGTGGGAAAACAGGCAGGTGTTATAAAGTTTTTTGAGGTGGTCGTCGTCAACTGGGTCTGTTCTGAACTTGATTTGCGAGTAATATTTTTTTATTTATGAAGTTTTGTTCGATGATTGGACTATTATTACGTGTATTGTAGTGTTTTGCTGTTATCTTGGTCTCCGTGTGAGTTTGTTGTTGCGTGTGTTATCAGTGATAAGGTTGGTGGTGATACTGTTATCATATTTCATCTTCAGTGAATTTTATTTCATATATTCCTCTTTATTTCAATTGCTACAAAATTGAAGTGCATAGTTTATTTGCATAGTTTATTTTAATGTATTGTTTACCTTTGTTTTGTCATATTCTTCAATGTGAATAAAATACGAAGGACGTTTTATCTCACATTTTATTGCCATTATGATAACCCTCACCACTGCACACCATTTACTTTTATTCTTTTCCAAATAGGAAAAAATCTTATTTTTTCGAATATTAAAAAAACGACGAATTTGCCGAGAAATTTGCCTCCGTTCTAAGAATTAAAGAACATTTAGCCTATGCAAATATTTCGTTACTTGTCATCATAGAAAACGCTTTCAAGGTATGACTTCCTTATTATTATTATTATTATTATTATTATTATTATTATTATTATTATTATTATTATTATTATTATTATTATTATTCATTATTATTATTATTATTATTATTATTATTATTATTATTATTATTATTATTATTATTATTGTTATTATTATTATTATTGTTATTATTATTATTATTATTATTATTATTATTGTTATTATTATTATTATTATTTCTATTATTATTATAACATCATAAATAGCTACATTTGAAAAGTAACGTGAAGGCATTTTCCTTTAGTCACAGTTTCAATAGAAAATAAGTATAAATAAATAACAACTGAATTTCAAGATCAACTTTCAAGTTCATTATTTATATTCAAACAGCATTGGTATTTAACATATAATAGTCTCTGAATAGGTTTATCTAATGGAAGTGTTTATTCACTGTATGGTCTTCACACAATATGAATAACGATAGAACAGGTGATAATTTCCATCGTCCAGAAAATATAAAATTTTTGTTGCTATAGTTTGTGGTGTTAAATCACGGGTTCGTAAATTGTCATGTGACTCGTAAAGGCTAGCAAGTATTGTAGTTCAGCAGCTTAAAGGAATTATTTCAGTCGCTTGATAGAATTTAATACCGTTATTTTTTTCTTAATCTATGTCTGAATATAAGGGGTTATACCTTTGCAGGCAGTATTGCTATGCATAAATATGTGCGTTTGTGTGTGACAACATTCCCTATGCACAAAACCTTTTATTTGGGGCTATATCCTCTGTGGTTACACTCTCAGACAATTTACACTACAGATAAGGCCTTTTTTTGTTATATTTCCGTAACCCTTAACACTTTGTTACACTCTGATACATGTTTGCCCTTTACGCATGCATTATTGCAGCCTCTTGAAACATTTTTTTTTTTAGTTTGTATGCCTTCACCTTGATGTAGTTTGATACACTCCGGCCAGCCATTCAGAGCGTAGTCTCAGGTAGGGATCGTAAGTTTCTTGATATTTTTTTTTTTTATTGTAAAGGTGCCTATCGTGTTTCTGTGTCTTTTTAGCAGTACATTAAATACACGTTCAGTCTATATGGGGAAGATCTGAAGTCAATCATATCGGCTGCTGGACATGCTTAAGAATTCCCAACGTGTCTGAGTCATATGACGTGGTATTGACTTCGGTGAGATAAATGTCTTAGAAATCTTTTGTACCTCTATGGTATAATCTTACAGGCTCAAAACTATGAAAGAAAATACTGTGTATCTTGATTTGTTGTCCGTGATCACTGGAATTCCCCAGTTGTCTTATTTGGACACGGAACTCACTAAGGGTAGATACAATAAAATACAAAACCATGTGGAACTCTCATTTTCCATATGAAGAACAATGCATGTAATAAGAAAAAAAAAAAGACTGAATCAGGGAGATACATTTAAACTTAACACAGTCTTGCGAAGTGAAGAGTGGTATGTATAAACCATAGTTGCCGAGTAACCAAGTCCTTTTTCCATTTTATTTGGAACTTCTACAATATTTTGTTTGTAATTAAAAATCATACCAAAATACTAAGTACCTTTATGGTTTTCTATTGATTTTTATGTGAAAGAACTCCTTTTTTTCAAAACGTTGCATGTCAGTACAAACTTCGATAATATCTTGTTTTGTAGCGACCGTCATACAATTTGTTGGGATGCATTAATAATAATGAGATACAGAAACTGATTATCAATTAATGAGGTCTTTTCGTGACGTCTTCTATACTTATATGAATTATACATGTACAAAACAAATCATGGTATTGTAATAAAACACACAATATTAGTTTGGGTATGACGCCACAACAATGCACTGGATGCGAAGATGGCGGAGGTAACAGACTGGTGATGATAATTATTTGCAACATAACAAGTATATTTATTTACTACATAACAAGATAATTAAGTAAAACAGAACAGTCTATCAGATATCACCGATTTCCGTTGTGCATCTTCGCTACGTTACAGAGAAGAAAGAAAACACAATTTTAAGAATGAAACTAATATATGTACGTAGAAACATTTATTTTTTACATTCAGTTGTCCGTTATATATACCATATATATCATAGCCATCTCTTTTGGTGCATATACTGTAATACTACACCAAACTCGAAACAGCATCTTCGATATATATACATAAACCAGACATATATATATCATTGTATAAATTATATTTTGCAATTATACAATATACAAACAAAGAAGCAAGTAAACAAGCAGACACACAAACACAAAATTGAAAGAAACTATGTAATTTACATAAAACAGTCAAGAATCTGATATGTGTGGATTGCATATAGCCGAGTGACCAGAGAATTTTGGTGGTATTCAAATGTAAATTTATAATATTGTGTGCAAAATGGGAGGAAACTTGAGGATTGATAAAATAGAAGCGTTAGAGAGCATTCAATCAATGTGTGTGCTTTGAGGTAGGTAATGGTTGATGAGAGTAGAGGTTTTTATATTTTTGGTACATTAAAACATGCTCTCAGAAAATAATAATAATAATAATAATAATAAAGATAATAATAATAATGATAATGATAAGGATAATGATAATAATAATAATGATAATAATAATGATAATAATGATAATAATAATAATAATAATAATAATAATAATAATAATGATAATGATAATAATAATAATAATAATAATAATAATAATGATAATAATAATGACAATAATACTAATGATAACAACAATCATCATCATAATAACAACAATATATAATGGTAGTAAAAAAGTATATATTTGCCAACTCAGGGGACTTTCGGAGACATACAGAGTTGACCACCTCCCCCCCCCCAAAAAAAAAAAGTCGAAACTAACTACAACACCAACATTCGGTTCTATATGTTCATTTCTATAATCTTCTTGGATTCTCACACTTGGAGCGTTGCCAACAGATGATCTCTGTGATCCGGCCATCGGTATACCCTTGTCTTCGGTATGTCGTCTAGAAGGTCGGTCGTGGGCGTGTTCTCAATCCTGCGTGAAGGGAGAGATATAGGTAATTAGGTGATTAAAGGGTAAGTGGTGATTAATCAGGAAAGGTAGATTGATAATTAGTCTTGTGTGTATGTGTGTCTACTTGTGAGAGCTTCTCTCTCTCTCTCTCTCTTTCTCTCTCTCTCTCTCACTCTCTCTCTCTATATATATATGTGTGTGTGTGTGTGTGTGTGTGCGTGTGTGTGTGTGTGTGTGTTTGTGTATGTGTGTGTGTTTATTTATCTATCTGTCTATCTATCCATCCAATACACATAGGCTTTGAGCAAAACCCGGTGTCTCTTCCAAACTAAATAAAGTCAAGCTTGCGGTTTATGTCTACGCGCAAAATGTATAAATGTCTCTTAGTAACTTACAAAACTTGGCAAACGTCGAACTGCCCATTTTTCATCTTTTTCAGAAAATCCACCAAGAGGGTATGGTAAACTTGTTCTCTCTGGTTCGTTCTTTGTTCATTTATTGCGTCCTCTTTCCGTTCCCTCTCAGCCCGACTTTCATCCTCGTGTTTTAGGTCCTTCGTTCCATTTCGAGACTCGGGAATCTTCAGCTTATTATGTTCCTCTTCTTCTCTTCTTCCTTCTTCCATTCTCTCTAACATTTCGCGTCCCTTCTCCTTTTCCTTTTCCATCTCCATCTCCATCTCCATCTCCTTCTTCTTCTCCTCCTCCTCCTCCTCCTCTTCCTCCTCCTCCTCCTCCTCTTCCTTCTTCTTCTCCTCCTCCTCCTGCCCCTCCTCCTCCTCCCCCTCCTCCTCTTTCTCCTCCTTCTTATTCGCCACCGCCTCTCCCTGTCTCGGAGCTTCACACGAACCGATTTTGTCTCCGGTGCTTCGAATCTCCATCTTCGACTCCACCTCCACGAGCTGTTGGATGATCCTCGCGCCCTTAGAGGCTACAATGAGAGTCTTCGTCGAGTGGTCCAGGAGTTTCTTGGCCAGCCACACGGTCGGGTCCTGGCGCTTCCCGAAGGCGTGGGGGTCGTGGAGGTCGAGAAGCTGTGTGTGGGAAGAAAATTGATTAAACTCATAAAAAAAAAAAAAATGTATGGATGTGTGAACAATTTCAACAACTTCATAATCTATGAGTGGTGTTAAAATTATTTTATCTTTGGTGTTACGAGCTTCTGTCATTCTCTCTTCCTTTTTCCTTCTCTCTCTCTCTCTCTCTCTCTTCCCCCCCTCTCTCTCTCTCATTTTCTCTTTCTCTCCCTCCCACCTCACCCACTCCTTCCAACACCTAAAGACAGCCTAAATCTGCTTATAATGGCTTTCATAGATGCTCTTACATACTCTAAATACTTAAACAATAAACATCTTAAATCACTCCTTTCCAACTCATCCTACGAGGATTTGCTAAGCTCACCTCGCACCCAGAATACACCTCACAATTCTTAAAAAAGAAGACCACACCTAACCCGTCCACTTGTAGGGCTATGGTAAACCCACCTTTACAACTCACTCATACACCCTGAACTACATCTTACCCGCCCACTTAACCACATCTGGAACTGTGCTAAATCCACCTCGCTCTTCCCAAGCCACACCTAAACCACTTTACCCACCCACCCGCCCACTTAACCACATCTGGAATTGTGCTAAATCCACCTCGCTCTTCCCAAGGGACACCTAATCCACTTTACCCACCCACCCAGTCACTATGTTTAAAACCTCTCACCTCTCACACGTTTCCTCACGCAACCAGAATCCCACCTTCCCTAAGCCCACCTTGCCCAAACCCACCTCTACCTCACCCACCTTGATATCCTTCCTCTCCCTGAGCACGTTCAGGAGTGGCAAGACCTCCTCGCTCATGTCTCCTGCGTATGCGACCAAGACTTCTCGCCGCGTCAGTTTCTTTGAGTTCCTGCTCTTCAAGTTGGAGTTCCCGTTTTCTGTGGAGAGTTTTTGGCGGTCATTTTTTATTTATTTATTTAATTTGTTTTTATTGGTGCTGTATCTTATTGTCGATTTACTGTTATCGTTATCCTTTTATTTTAATTTTTTATTATTATTTCTACTCTTATCGTTACAGCTGCTGTCAGTTTCGAGATTCGAAGATATAGAACTTCTTTAAGAAAGATATAACATGCATATATAATAATAATAATAACAAAAACAAATAAATAAATGCACGAACAAACCCAAAACAACGAAAATAAACAACGAAAGAACTCGCCCACTCACGGAGGCCGACGACGGGCCTTGTCCAGCTCCTGCAGGCGACGGAGCAGAACAGGGTGACGGCGATCGGGGGCGCCGCCACGGCCACCACCAGCAGCCACCACGGCCTTCGGACCAGGCGCGCCGCCGTCTGCGTTTGCGGCTGTTAGAGGCACAAAGGGTTTCAT